CACACAGATCACCTAAGATATTCACAGCCCCTGGAGTATGAACCTGAGGAAGCAGAACAGAAGCATGAGACTTTGGGGATCACTAGAGGTTCTTTAGGGAACAAACGCCCTTAAGAATATAAATAAGAACCAAGGTTGAAAATATGAGTCACAGATGGGTGTTTTAAGCCTAAACCCTCCCACAGCCCTGACCTGCTGGTTGTTTCCTCTTTCTGGAGGGCTCCCAGGCGCTCTCTGCTCCTGTGTCCCTTATCTCATCCCTGGGCTGGTGGGGTTGACTGGAGGGGTCCGTGTAAACACTGGCACCAGCCCAGACCCTGGGGCACAGGCTGGCTAGTCAGGCCCTCCATCTGGGGCCTGTGGGAGCCACGGGACAGTAGGTCATCAAGAAGCTCCTCGAGAGTCCAGGAGCTCCAGCTGCTAGCAGGTGTCTGAGGGTCCAGGTTGCCCGGGCCCTGCCCAGGAGGCCCCTGAGCAGCTAGACCCAGGCCTACCCACCATCCTGCAGGTTTTCAGAATCTCCCACGCACAGGTCTAGAGTAACCTGGGTGAGCTTTTGTTGCTTGCAACTAAGGCACCGCTGTGAACAGAGGGGAGCCCAAGGTGGGCAGCCATGAGGAGACAGGCAGGAGGTGCTCACAGAAGGAAGCATGCCGCGGGTGCTATGTGTGGCTGTGGATGGCAGCCCCGGCTCACCTTCCTCATCCCCTGGCTGTTCCACACACAGCTTCTCAGCCTCGTGGAGGTCTGTGCAGCCGGCGTGGCTGTGTTCTGACCCTGCTCAGTGGATATCTGTTCAGCATCTCATGTGCCAGGCCTGTGCCAGGCCTGTGCCAGACTCTGGGGGTGCAGGAGTGAATAGCACACAGAAGTACCCCAAGAGTGGCTCTGAGCAACCAGCACGGGGCCTCCAGGCCTGACACTGACGCTTTACTGATACATTTGGGTCCTTCCTCAGACTGGGCAGCTGGGGGCAGCTGGGGTCAGTCAGGGTCAGCCTGGTGGCTGGGAGAATGGCCCACTGGCACCTTCCAGGCTGGGCAAACTCCTCCTTAGTGGGGTGCACGGGTCCCTGATGAAGCTGGCTTTGGAGGTCTTGCTGAGGTAACCTTCTGAGGTTGCCAGAACGGGGGCCCTGTGATGTACTCTGGGGACAGTTAAGAGTCACTGCTTCCTTTATGAATGGCAGGCCTGGGGAAAGGAGCTTGTCACCAGAGACGATTTATATGATAATTGCATTAAACCCATCGACATTGCTATTTCTAAATCCCTTTTGTTAAGTATCTTTTTCATCCCAAAGTGAAATTTATCACTCCAAATCACATGGTCATTTAGATACAAGAATATAAAAATATGCACATGAAATCGATCTTTACTATTCACTGTCCCTGCACAGAAACGAGTCCCGGCTGTAGATATAAAATACCCAGGAAAGACCAGAAGACTTGAAAAGAATGAGAAAAAGCGTCAGGGGTGTGCAGACTTTCTTCTTCTCAGCTGCACGTGGGAAGAAGAGTTGTCTTGGGCCACAAAGTAAATCCACAAACACTAATGAAAACTGATTAGCAAAAAAGGTCTGTGCATACTTTTCACGATATGAAAAGTGACACCACAGATAAAGAAAAAAAGTCCTCACAAAATTAGCATGGGGCCCATGGGCCTCAAATTGGACATCCTTGAAGTTTTCTACTCTCCTACACTAAAATAAATCATATCATGAGATGGAATTTTTAGTTTAAACCTTTTTGGTTTTTGGACTATAAGATCAAGCATCTACTCTACCAGTACTTTAGAAAAATCTTAATATCATGGTGGGATTATAAAACGATATTTTAATCAAATAAATAGTGCACACACTTAACTGAGCATTATAAAAACTGGGTGATACATGGCGTCTGTGGAACAGAGCCTAACAAAAACCTCAACATTTAGGTTCAGCTTCAGAGTGAAGTATCCTGAGCTGCAGGATAGGAAGGGGGCTGTTCTGGGGTTGTGCTGAGCCTGAGTGTGATCAACAGATGTGTTTGCTGTGTAGGATAGAGGTGGGCACTGGTGGTGCACTGGTCACGGAGACCTCTCCTCCTCACCCTCTGACCTCATGGTACCTGCCCTTGTTTTAGATGGAGCTTCCCATGGGAATGGGGTCAGGGATATCAGAATTCTGTAGGGAGTTTTTCCAAAATACAAATGCCTGCCTCATACTTGGCACCACTCTGCTCCCCTGCCCATAGTGGAGTCCAGAATCTCAGGGCAGCAGGTGGGGGTGGTGCCTGGATAACAAAGCCTGCCGGTGACTCTCAGCATTGCTTCAGGAGCACGGCCTCCCTCTCTCTGCTTCACATTTGTTTTTCCTGGATAACCTTGAATGTGAAGTCTCCAGAGATGCCATAGTCCTATATTTTCCTGCCCTTACCACAGCTGCCTGGGCTGTGCCTCCAGTGAGGCAGCCCATGCTGGGTGCCCTGTGCTGGGTGCCTGTGCTGGGTGCCCTGTGCTGGGTGCCCTGTGCTGGGGCCCAGACTGGCAGGACAGCTTTGGCGTCCACCCCTGGAGAACCCAGAGGTGTCTAAGGCTCCCCAAATTCAACAGTGAGCATTAAAACAAAAGCCTGTGGGAAGAGGCACAGTCCTCTCAGATTATGACTGCCTCTCCCAGGCTTCCGGTATCCACATGGACGCGGCTCCCTTCTGCCCCGCAGGCCTGTGGCCCCAGGAGTGAGTGGCAATCGGCTCCTGTAGCAGCTTGCTTAGGACCTGGCTGGTGGGGTCAACTCAGCTGTTCTTGTCACGGCACAGGCTGCTACTCCAGGGCACGGCTGCAGCAGACGCCTGGCCACACTGCCATCTGGACGAGGGTGCTTCACCGCAGCCCTTGAGAGGTGCCTCTTATGTGGCTGTGGGGTGAGTGCCCTGGGCACACGGATGGCTCGGGCTCTAATTGAAAACTGCATTCCTCACAAAGGTCCAGATGAGCCAGCTTGGGGCTGCGCACATGGACTGCACAGCACTGGGGCCACACAGGGCACAGTCTTGTCCTTCTGAGATGGAGACTCGGGGGTACCCAGGTCCTAACTCTGTTTACCGAGAGGGGTCAAGGCTGCAGTGCGGCTGCAATCAGGCTATTTCTGGACAACTGTAGTCCTCTTGTCCCACCCCATAGAAGCCAAGACAGCAGTTCCAGACCTGCACTGTCAACCTGGAAATTGAGAGGACAGCTGGCTCCCTCGCCTTACCTGGGATCTGCCGGGTGGGAAAACGGGGCAGGACCCAGCCCACCTCTCAGCAACCCTGTGGAGGCCTGTTGGGGAAGTCATGCCAGGAAGCCATGATTTCAGGAGGGAACAGACGTGATGTTTTTTCCAGAGGAGAGGCCGTCCACATATACAAACCCACAGTGACTGGGCAGACTGTGCACGTCTTTGAAGACTCACAAGAGGGATCCTGGCTCTGTTTTGTATCCTGCTGTGCTGAGTTTTGACCAGGGTCATAGGTTCCCTTCAGGATCTGGGAACAGAACCCACCATGAGCTGCTCCAGGAATCAAGATGCTCCAATCCCATGGGTCGGGGAGGGACCTGGTGGTGGTCTGGCCAGCCCTGACCTGTACTGGGAGCCCAGAGCCCTCCCTCAGACGAGCTCCAGAGGCTCCTGCACATGGCCCTGCTCTCCTAGGCCTGCGTCCTTGTCACAGTCAGGGAGGACCAGACTGGGCTTGCCAGCCCTGTTCCAGCACCCCAGGGCCCTGTCCAGCATGAGGTCTCAGAGCCATGGGCCCCGTCCCCACCCCCGTGGTTTGAGCACAGCTGTTTCTCCAGCTCATATGCCTACCAGACTCCCACCAGACTGAGTGTGAATGGGGAGGCCCCCAGCAAAAAGCAGCTGGTTTTTCAGGGCCCAGGAGTCATTAGCAGGGCTCCCCCTCCACCATACACAGAGGACCCCAGAGAGGGCCTGGGACAATGGCCAGCGCCACAGCCTGCCCACAGGAGCTCTGTGGGGGCCCCTGGTTCTAACTTCCAGTGTCTGCCATGTCCCTTTGGGTTGTTACCCTAGGAACCAGGATCCCCAGCTGTCCTTGGGTGGTACATGAGGGCATAATGTCTGGGAGCCCTGGCTCCAGCCACCACTTCCTACTGCTGTCCCTTCAGGGTTATATTGGCAAAGACCCCCAGAAAGAGAAGGTGGGCCCTTCTCTGGTGCACTCGGGAGAAGGCACTGGGCAGGTCCAGTGTCTCCAGGTGACGTGACACCTGGGACTCTGTCTTGGAACAGTGGAGTGCGAGTCTTCCCTCCCAGTGAAGGCCGACTACAGCTTCAGGAGCTGGAGTGGCCCAGGACCACATCTTGCAGCTCCCTGGGCCACCCGCTTCTTCCTTGGCCCTGTCTGAGCTCCTGGGGGACCATCCTGCGGACACTGTAGTTTCCAGCTCACAGAACACAAAGGCATCAGAGGAGAGGTGGCTGAACAGGAATGCTGAGGACGGCAGAAATGTGGGGGATGGAGCCCTTGGCCTCCTGAGCTGTGTCCCTGTGCGGAGGAAAGGCCACCCCACTGAGTCCTCACAGCAAATGGGGTGAGCATGGCCTACGGCACACAGGGCCAACAGGACGTGGCTCTGGAACAGGGATTTATCTGGGAATGACGCAGGGCAACAGGGATATTAGTGGTAGTGAACTACGTGTGCCTTGGAAGACAAAGGTTTTGAAAGAAAAAATGGGGAGGATGGCAAGGTAATTATCCTCAACTACAGAAATCAGTAACAAGGGTGATATCAGTCAAGATGGGACAGGCCAGGCAGACGTCCTTGCACAAGTGCTTTCTGTGTCAGGCAGCGCCGGCCTCTGTGTGAGGCTGTGGTGTCTGCAGAGCCCTTTCTGTTATCAGGCCTGCAGTGGGAGGACCCTGACCTGGCTTCCCTGGCTCTGTTTGTCAGAGTTTTCTCAATATAGTAACTCTGTTTTGATTCTGACAATTTTCACGTCAGAATTTGTGGGCATGACCCACAAATGAGCGTGAACCTCAGGGTTACTCAGCCCAGGGCTTCCGTCCTCTCTGCCACACCTCAGCTATGTGCCCTTGAGCAAGTCACTGAACCTCTCTGGGCTTTGGGCTCTCGTCTGTCCAGTAGCAGGGTGGTTGCGAGGATGGCTCTGAGTGCTGAGTTCCGTGGAGAGCTGGGCCATGCACCCTGACCCAGTCACTGCTCCCAGGAGCTACATGGAGCTGAGGCTGCAGGTAAGTGGTCACAGCAAGGAGGGCACACCGGGGGGCATCTGGAGACCCACACTGAGACCACGAAGGCGGCAACTCTGGGTGCAGCCTCCAAGCACCTTTACTGTCTTTTCAGGGCAAATGCAGAAGCAAAGAAAGTGGCCAAGTCAACTTTCTAGCTGGATACGGACTCTGAAGGACCTCGCACTGAGCTTGAACCTGTAAGGCCCCTCAGGTGGAACTGGCCTCGAGACTTAGATGCAGAATGTAGCAAAGATACGTTTGCCAATCTGATCACAAACCTCCCTATGGTTCCCTTCACAGTGAGAAGGAAATCTCGTCTCTGCCATGGCCTCTGGATCCCTCCACTCCAGAGACAGGAGGCTCACGCTGGCCCAGCCACACTGCCGTGCCTGACCACCCTGTCCAGCCACACTGCCCTGCCTGTCAGGATGGAGAAATCGACTCTTCTAAGCATGGGGAGAAAGCAGAAAGGGAACCTCGGGTAAGGAGGCCAGAGGGGAGTACAGGCTAGGCCTGCAACTGCCAGACCAGAGGTGCCAAGGGGAGCACAGACAGAGGGAGCAGGGCAGGCCCCACACAATGGTGCGAGAGAGGCTGGGTCCATGGGTGCCAGGGAGCCCATCTCTGGGATGTTCAGGGGAATCTCCAAGTGGGAGACTAAGAAAACTTCAGGAGTAAAGAATAACTGAATGACACAGGGGAAGAGTGGAGCTGGCCTCAGAGTTCTCTGACATCTGTGGACTGTGCAAGGGAGCATGTAGCTCCAGGTCCTGCACACTCAGGGTGCCACGTGAAGGAAGGAAGGTTGTCAGTACTCAGGCACCCTTCCAGGGAAAACACCTGAGGGGGCAGTTGCCGCACTGACCTCTGGAACAACAAACACGCACACAGACCAGTGGGCAGAGGGGGCACACGCGGACATCAAGGAGGGAGGCGGCGTGTCTGGGAAGGACAAATGCAGGCCCTGGGCAAACAGTCCTGAAGTTGAAACACTTCTGAATTGGACCATAACCAAAGCCCAATACTAGTCCAAAGTATTAATTCTGCAAAATCTGAGCCTAAGCCTGGCTGGGGTGGGAAGAGGAGTTGTAAGCTCCCCAGATCGCCTGGGTATGAGGGGTCGGGGTGGGTGGGCTGGAGCCAGCCCTTTTTGCCTCTTGGAGACCACCAGGGAGGCCCGTGGAGCACCCTGCCTGGCCCTGTGCATGCAGCTGGTGCAGGGAGGCTGTCATGGACACTGGTGCAGAGGAACTGGCCAGAAATACAGAGAAAGGAAAAATAAGGAACAAAAAAATGCATAATAGGGCGGTGCCTTTGGCTCAAAGGAGTAAGGTGCCGGCCCTGTATGCTGGAGGTGGCAAGTTCAAACCCAGCCCTGGCCAAAAACTGAAAAAAAATGCATAATACACTTAAAATGGCTAAAAAGAACCAAATAATTAGCCATTACATACATAATAGCAGTCTGGGACATTCCATTAAAATACAGACTGTCAGTTCAGAATGGCCTTCAATCCCCAGGCTCTGTGGACAAGAAATATGCTGAAAGTAACATGCTTTAAAAAGGTCAAAGATGCAGGAATAAGCAGAGAGGTACCAAGAAAACAAAAGCCACCAGGGAAAGAGAGCAGAGCATGGCAGGCAGGGGGAGTGAGCCTGAGGCCAGCCAGTGTGTGGGCACTGGGAGGGGGAGGCACCAGGTGCAGGCGTCAGTCCTGCGCTGTCCTGCGAGTGCTGGCCCTGGAGGAGCAGCAGGGCTGACAACAGGCCTACGGTGCTATTTCCTGACAAGTATGAATAAATAAATTCCTTCTGACAAAAATTACTATTGTTTCAGTTACTTTTCTACCAAGATTTGGGCATATGACCTTTTCTTGGGAAGGAAAAGAAGTTTCCCATCTGTGTCATCATGAGGGAATTTCCTGCGGAATCACCATAATGACTCTGCTTGTGTTTGCAGGACGACCCAACACGCAGCCACGTCACGTGAGCCAGTGGAAAAAGCCTCTTACAGCAGGATTTCTTTGTGCATGTGGCCCAGCTGCTCATCGCCTGGCGATTCAGTTTTCACTGTTTCACCGACCTTTCTAGAATCAGATGCAGCAAGGCCACAAGCTCCACTCTATCTGTTTCTGGCCACTGCTACCAGGCAGTACCGGGCACTGCAGTACCGGGCACTGCAGCCCCGCCCAGCGTCCAGATTTGGGAAGGTCCCTCTGCTTCCAGATCTGCACAGTGGGAATTATGAGTGCCATGTCCTGGGGCAGTTGGGATGCCCATTGGGTGAATAGTGTGAAGAGCCAGCAGACCCAGGGGACAGCAAACACTGACTGCTCAGCAGCACCGAGGCAGATGGGCTGCAATGGAGCCTGGGGCCCGAGTAACCATGGATTTGTGAGTGCCAGTGTTTTCCCAGCTGTAGTTCAACCTTTAAGGATGAACAATTAGTGAGTGGATTATCTTGTTGACTCACACCCTCAGATCAGAAGGCCACGCGTGTTTGCAGAAGCTCAGCCAACCTTCTTTCTAGCTGGGCTCCATGGTCCACAGAAAAAAAACAAAGAATTATATTTTAAAGATGAGTTTGTCTAAGAGAAATGCAAGCCTTCTGATTCACCTGCTTTTTGAATTAAGGACAGGCAACATCAAACCTTATTCAAGAAACAAAATAAACATTAAATCCTGTCTCCCTCCAACATGTTGTCATCAACAAAGGTCCTAGGAAGACCCACAAAGAGAAGAGAATGGGGTGGGAGGGGAGGGAGGGGGTGATCAGAAAGGGAGAAAAGAGGAGGAGGGAGGGGAAGGGCTGCTTGCACCCCCTCGGAGGAAGCCTGGACTCTGGCCCATGCTTGCTCTTGGCTCTGGAAATCTGTGCAGCCCCAAGAAAGTTGCTTAAAGGTTCTGAGCTTCAGTGTCTTCTAGAGAAGTGAGGAGAGGTCAGGTGTGCTTAGTGCAGGGACACCACAGATGACTGAGGCGATGGCCTCACTGCTGCGCAGAAGGGAGATGCTAGGTTCTACCTTTTCCCCGGGCAGGGAAGGTGCAGGAGACAAGCTCAGAGGCAAGGGGGACCAGGGAATCCTCAGAGAGAGCATGCTGTGGCATTTCTGATGCCTGCCCTGCAGGTGCTCCTTAGATCCTCACCTTTTACTCAAACTGCAGGAAGGACTTAGCTCACTCTTGGGGACATTCTGGCCTCTGTATGGAACACCTGCTTCCTCCAAGGTAGATGATGTGGCTGAGTCGCTCCCTCTCCTCAAGCCACAAATGCTCTGCAAAGCTACAGGGATGAAGGTACATGCCACCCACTCCCTGCCCAGCTCCTAAGAGCCCATGCTCTGCAGAGCTACAGGGATGAAGGTGCACACACAGTGCTCCCTGCCCAGCTCCTAAGAGCCCATGCTCTGCAAAGCTACAGGGACGAAGGTACATGCACACCCACTCCCTGCCCAGCTCCTAAGAGCCCATGCTCTGCAGAGCTACAGGGACGAAGGTGCATGCACAGCACTCCCCACCCAGCTCCTAAGAGCCCATGCTCTGCAAAGCTACAGGG